TGATCCATACATTTTTCAAAAAGTTATAGCATAATAAAGTTAAAAATGTAAAATACAAAATCGAAAATTTTCACACAATAATAGCATTCGGTAGCCATTTTCACCGTGAAGATAAAATAAAGTCTGAAATTTTTTTTTTGCATAATAAAGAATATTACATTAGCTTTAATTTAAGATATATATAAAAGTGTCAGACCTTCCGGAACATTTTCAAAAGTTAAGTTGAAAAAGTTAATTTTTTTTGAAAAATTTGTCATTTTAAATCTCCCCCTGTGGGCAAGTAAAGAGTCACATATAAAATATACCAAATGAAAGGTAATGATATCATAAATCTATATAAAAAAAAATTATATTGATATGTTCATTTTTGAAAAAGTTATGGCACTTTTAAGTAAAAAAAATTGAAAAAATTTCGAAAATTAGCGATTTTTAAATTTGTAATTTTTTTGGAGGTTTCCCCCATTTACGGGGAACGAGGGCATTTTTTTCAATTTTTGAGGGTAATGTCTTCGACTAGATACAATTTGTGATCTTTTGACGTATCATTGAAAGAAATTGGTTCGGTGAGAGCTGAGAAAAAGTGGTAACAGACACAAAAAAAAAAAAAAAAAAAAAAAAAATAAACACATCTTAGTAAAACCAATACCTTCTCAGCTTCGCATCGAAGCTAAAAAATAGTTACCAATGATGGGAACAGTGAAAACCCTTTGTCTTTCTAATTGAGTAACCGATATAACACTGTGAATGAATAAGATGTTCCACATCTAATTCATATTTTGAAAACAGATTACATCCATGTTTATGTGTATAAGTCAAATAATAATTACTTAATTAATTCAGTAAAAAAAAAAGAACACTAAATAATAATAATTTTTATATTATTGTTTGAGATACAAATATATAGAGTCGAACAACAATATTCCGAAGTAAAATGCAAAACAAAATTCAAGAGAAATTTATTCTAAAAGATCAAATGTTAAAATATCAAAATCTACATTGTGAACTTAATCCATTCAATCTGGCTACAATTCACAATTTCAAGTTTTACCAGTTATTCTATGCTCTATTAATATTAATGGAATTTATTATAATCAACTGCTATGTGTTTATTGGTTTATACAATGTGAAAAACGATTATTTTTCAGTTATACAATTATTTATAAATGTAATATCAACTATTCAAATATATCTAAACAACTATAGACTTTCGAAAAAATATGATGATTTAAGAAAATTATTGGATGCCACAAGTAGCGATTTTTTATCTTCTAGTTATAAAGGAAAATATATATTTGAACAGAACGAATCTATATGTATGAAAATAATAAACTTGTACAGTTTTATATGTTATTCGGCGGTGTTACTTTGGATTTTTAATCCGTTATTTATAAGAGGATATCCTTTAAAAAAAAGAGACGGCAGTCTGGTAATTTATCGAAATAGCGTCCTAAATACATTACTCAGTTTCATACCAATTTCGATTTATGAGCGAATTTACCCAATTGTATATCTAATAGAAGCTATTGAAATATCACATATTACTTATGATATAGTTTTCTACTATACAATAGTTATACAATTTTGTTGGATGTTAACAGCTCAATTGAAAATAATTGCATTTAAATGTGAATCATGTGGATACGAAAATGAAGAAATAGGTACGCATAAATTTTTTTTTTATCAATAATTTTTGAACATAAAAGAAAAACATAATTTTTTTTAATGCTAGTAATGTTTTAAATGAATTATTTGTTTTCCAAATAGGGAATAGAAACGATCGAAATTACGTGATATATTTGAAACAATTACTTTCGGATTATACAAAATTACACGTGTAAGTTGATTAAACGTTTTTAAAAATATTATTACATTGTGACTAGATTATTAAAATGTTTAAACATTTATTGCTTATTTTATAAGTTGTTGAAATGATAAATTCATTTTTATCATAATGTAATGAATATTGTGCAATTTTTGATTCACAAATGAAATTAAATAATTATTCATTAACATGGTTTGGTTTTTCTTCTAAAGAATTTTAAAGTGTTATTTATAATATGATAGATAACCCGATTATTAATTTGATGTTATATTTTAAATTATTACTATTAGTTCAATTAGAAAATTTTATGAAATTATGAAATCAATGACGTTGTTTACGTATGGATACTATTTCAATCTTTATATTACTTTCACATATATGTGTATTTTGGTATGTATATTTTAAATTTAAGATTTATGTGATTTTCATAATTTGATGAGAAAATTATTTGCAGAATTACTTTAAAAATGACTATGTATTGTCAGTTACTTTTGCGAAATTATTATTAACAGCATCAGTGGTGTGTATCGATTTATTGATCATGTGCTATTTTTATGGTTATCTTGAAAATCAAGTAAATTAGATTTTGACAGTAGTTAGTGTATTTTAATTACATTTAGGCTTAATTTGATATAAATTATCCATTTATGACGTTTTAAAATATTTATAAAACATAATACTTATGAAAAATATAAAAGTATATTCTTCAAATAAAAGTACAGGAAGTATATAATAAACAAACATAGTTTAATTGTAATTTAATAATGTTTAACCAAATATTTTTCTCTATAAATACATTAAATGTTTTACTATAACTGTTTATTATGGATTATTGCTAAACGATTTTTTATGTTGTGCTATTTTCATAGTTGTCTTGAAAATCAATAAAAATAATTTATTATTATTTTTTTTTAATGATTTTACTATTGTAAAATTATCTACTTAATATAATTTTTGATTCAGTATAACGATAAAATTTAATTTTCAATAAATTTTATATAAATACCTAACTAATCATATAATTTAATGTTTAAAAAAATATTTTTTTTAAGTTCTTGTCAAAAATATATAAACGAAAAAAAAACGCCCTTCATTAAAGTATACATCAGTAAATAAGTGCAAAAAATTATAAAAACATTCAATATTTGTTCATTTTAACTATTGAATAATATTTTTGTTCTAAAAATTGTATTATATATTTATATTAAATGACTAGAGTTAGAAATTAATTATTATTGATTGAAAAATATAGAGTGATTCATTTATCATAAACCACTATATTTCTTCTAAAATAACAGTCATTTATCTTTTATTTCTTTTAATGGTAAAAGCTTAATTGAAGCTCCAATGCTGTTGCATCAATGACGATTGAAGTGACAAATTTTAAATAAAAAATAACCTTTGTACCTTAATTGACTTAAGAAAATCCATTTTCTCACTGAACAATACCTGGGGGTATGTCCACATTTGATATTTTTTAAACTTTTTTTAGTTAAAACTGCCATAATTTTTGAAAAATGGATGAATCATAACAATTATTTTTTTTAAATAACCAAAGTAAGTACCATAAATTAGGTAATTATATTTTTTAAAAATCTGATACCTTACCTGGCTAGAATGACTTAACATATGCATTATTGCATGATAAATGAACAGTTTCTTTTATTCCAAATTATTACGTTCATTAAATATAATTAAATTAAAACTTATGTTATATACGTAATATTAAAAAAAATTGTTCTGACTTATATTTTCTATTCAAATGACATTCGTATTTCAAAAACATTTCTGGATTTTTATTTTTAACTTTATATTGTTCAATAACATTTTTTTATATGTGCTTGATTCATATTCCTTTCATGCAATATACTTTTTTTTTTTAAATCTTGAATTATTTCCTTATTTCAAGGGATTAAAACATGGAACATACATATAAAAAGTTGCTCTACAAATTCGCATCTAAGCATTTTTCATAATTGTGATTAAATTGATAAACAAAAATACTATTCATTCAGTTATTATATTTGTATAATATAATAGAATATAGCTGTGTAAATGTATAAACTTAAATTTAAACTATCCCCAATTACAAATGCAATTGAGTTTGACAACTAATCAATAACTAAATATAAACACAATAAGATTATATAGTCCTGCCTGTACCAATCCAGTGACCTCACGAACAACCTGATGAAGCATCCAGCTTTGAATATTTAAAATCATATGACTACGAAATAAAACCGAATCCTAAACTTTTGGATGGCGGCCCGGAATTTGATAAGACCTCAAATTTTTATTTCAGTCTTGAGACGAGTGTTAATATTTACAAATCATTACACTAATCCACACCGTTTATATCTTTTGAAGTGGTGAATATGTATAAAATATTTCACGACTATCTACGATGGGCCGGAGAACAACACTAATTTAAAAATAAAACACGTGCATCGATCACGTACCGGCAACACCTCTTATTACTACATACAAAAACACAGTTTCACATTGACCATAATTAGTCAGCCGACAGACTGAAGAGCGACGGGAATACCTGACTTCCACTGATCATTGGCTAACACCACTTTTGTGTTTAACTGGCCGGAGATAAAACACTGACGTTAACATAAAAATTATCAATAAGAAAATGAATAGTCAATAACAACTAACAAGTTGGTCGGTAGTTATGAATATTTGTATACCCGTGTGAGAGGAGTAACGAGGTAAATCGATCAATCAAAAAATAAATAATATTAAACAAAATCAAAAAAAAAAATTTTCATTGTATACAGCATAATTTTCTTTATCAAAACAATTTTTTTTCTGTGAGTAATTGAGTAGGTTATGTTAAAAAAATCATTGTATATTATTATTTCAAGAGAATTTTAATGGTTAACAATAAATAAATAACTCTATATAATATTTTTCAGTGATGTCTCGTGGGGGTGCACATTAAATATAATACCACTAGTCATAGGTATAAAAAATTGTCAAATTAAATATAATAAAATAAAACACAATACACATATTATTATTTTAAAGGTCGCAGTAGAAAATAGAAATGAAAATAATAATAGCGATTATACTCTTATAGCAACCGATAACGACGATCGTACACGCAGTTAGTTCTAAAAATAAATTTCCCAATTTAGTAATATACTAATATTTTACTGTATGGACGACGCTGACGGTCGTCCAAACACTGCTTGTGTGTGCATACGTACTCGCATATAGTGAAAGTAACAACTTTAATGTTCGCAAACTACAAATGTATAATAACTATTTTACTATTTAAGAATTTTCATTTTTAATAAAATTTAGAATATAAAAATATACAATTAGTTTTCTTTTTCTAATTAATTTTAGTAGAGGATGCGATTGTTCTGTCGTCCAAGCCACGAGTCGTCACTGATATGTTTAATTAAAAGTAAATATGGACAATATCCATATTTAAAATGAACACGATCATATCTATTATGGATAAGATCATTATAATTTATGAATGTGGACCGGATTACAAAATATATTTTTGATGGGATGTGATATAAATAAAATATTAAAACGCCGTATTTGTATAATATTATGAACATAAAAATTATAATTTTTTATGGAAAAAAATTGTTATAGGTGTTCAGTAATTAAGGAAACGGATTTCTATTGTTCTCATTGTTTTTAACAATTGACCTGTTTCCTTACTTACTGAACATTCTGTATAATAAAATGTTAAAAAATTAGCAAATATTGGAAAAATAATTTTTCCATCGTTAAGTAATTATTTCTTATCGATTTTTAAATTTTTTAATTTTAATGAAAGAGCTCGACAATATTATTCTTGGAAAATTATTCGCGAAGATGAGAAAATTTTTTTAACACACTCTGATCGTATAAAAATTTTATTAAAAACGCTCATTACCGCCAGCGTTACTCAATTTAAAACTTGAAATTTTTATTAGAATTTCCCAGAGATATTTGAAAGGTACTCTAAAAATTTCGTTTAAATCTGTTGATTTTTGATCCAGTTATGAGGTTTTTTTTAAGTTTACGCGCATAGTTCTTAATAAAATATTATTTTGGTTCAAGCATGTCAATTTTTGTTTTTTAATTTTTATTAGTTAATGTAATTCTCACTAATAACACGGTATTCAAAGATTGTATTTAGTGATTATTAAGTTTTCTTTTGCTTACCTGTTGTTTTGAATTATAATTAGTAGGTTATTATAATGTATAATTTTGAATTCACTTAAGTATTTTGTAACCATATTATTATTTTGTTGGGACTCTTCGTTTGGTAAACTGTTTCCGAATTAATACTATTTTTGCAGAACAACTATCGTGTCCAACGTAGCCGGATACTCCTTCCGGATTAATTGGTCTACTTGTAGGGACAGTCTAACGTGCCGTATGTGCGTGAGGCACGCAGGTCACTAGGTCTCGGGTGGAACTTTAGCTAGACGAANTGGAAGGGTCTAACGTGCCGTATGTGCGTGAGGCACGCAGGTCACTAGGTCTCGGGTGGAACTTTAGCTAGACGAAGCCTAGTTTATAAATAAATTTAATTATTATTTTAGAATGACACGTGGACATTTATTACTTCCTTAATAACTATTCCCAATAAATTAAATTGACTTTTATTTTAACATTATATTTCCTACGATTATTATAGATAAATGATGTACAGTTTGCTATGTATAGTATTGACTGGACCGAGAAAAGTATAGAATTTAAAAAAAATCTCTTGTTGGCTATGAGTTTAAATAACGCGAACAGATTAAAAATGAATATTACTCCACAAAAATCATTGAATCTAGAAGTATTTGCCTCGGTAAGTTTATTTTTAGAAAAAATACTGAAATTGTCTTTTTATCATAACTTAATATAAATTACTCCTTAGAAAGTGTATGACTTGATTAATATAATAATAAATATATAATAACAATTAATTATTTGTAATTTATTTTAGGCGGTGCGTGTGTCATATTCAATAATTTCACTCTTGGTAAAAAAAACAATTTCAAAATAAGTTATTTGGAGAAAATAAAAATTTATTTGAACTTTTATTATATATTAAATTTACTTTGTGTTAAATTTTACTATTAATACATAAAGAACTTGATTATCAAGAGAGCTTTATTTTAATTTTAATGTTTCACAGTATTATTAAAAAATACATAAATATGAGTATTTTATGGAAGAATGCATAAAGTATTTTTATGTAATGATGGGTCGGTGCATCAACCAGTAAAGATCTTTAATATTTGCATAAAGACTCAGTGAAGCACAACTTAAATTTAGAAATCACCAAGTTTTAGCATTATATTATATTGTTTTGTATTGTGAACGTTTCTTGTACTTAAATAGTTATTTATTGTTACAATTGTATATATTTTATATAGCTAATGTCTAGTACCATATCTGCTTTTTTAATTATTTTATAATATGTGTACAGATTACTATCCAACGGTGAACTGGACATCACTTAAATAAAATATAACTTGGTGACAATACTAAACTACTCATTAAGTTTTCGATTTACAATTATTTTCATATAGTTATCACTTAAATAATAAAGATAACTACATATTGAATAACAAATATTAAAACATTACAAAATTATAACAACTAGAAGTAAATCTTTAATTAATTATAGTTTTTTATACTGTACTATTTTATACGGGCCAACCCTAAAATAAAGTAAAAATCGATAGAGATGTTTGAAGAGGTAAATTTTTTATTCTCTCCTTAAAAATATTTGATGAAACAATTTTTATAATTTTCTATGAGTGTGTAAGGGGGAGGATAAAAAGAGATAAGGGCTAAATCCGTTTCCCCCGATAAGCCCCTTAAGCACAACATGTCTGTGCATGCTTATGTAATTTGACGTAATCATTTTTCATCCTAAGTAAAGGTGGTTTCAAATAAAAACGTTATATACCTTGTTTCTATCTTCAATGGTTTATAGAATATTAACCGACAATGGTATTTGTTACTCTGAAATTGAATTTTCACGTATGCCCGTGTTTTATAATGTATTACTAACTTTCAACTATATTGATTCAGTTAGTTTTTTTTCTTAAAACTTGAACAATTAAAATTTATTTCATTTTTTAAATTAAAATTTTTATCAATTTATGTATTTTTTTAAAGTGTTAAAAACGTGAAGAAAATATTTTACTTAATTTATTAAATACTTAGATATTTATCGAACTGTTTAAATAGATGCTCTATTTTCATTATAGTTTGTATCAAATAATATAAGGCAATAACATTTATGTCTAAAAACTATTTTGATGTTAACATTTTAATGTCTGTAGTAAAATAGCATTGAAATTCAAGTCTCAGTTGATATAAAACATTGATTTTTTTGAAAATAGTAAGAAATTTATAAAATATATTATGCACATAGTTTGCTAGTCTAGTAACACATTTATCTGCTCACTTCCAAAATTCAATTTATTTTAACGTTTAAGCTTTAACGTTAAACAAAAATTTTTAATGTTTATTAAGTATACTTAAAAGTTATAATGCACACACAAGTTTTCATAACATGTGTTGTATTATAGTTATTTTTATCAATAAGAGCAATTCCAAATTTGAAATTCAAGTACACCCTATTAATGTTTGACTAGTGCCGCTGTAAAGACTACCAAGAAGGTAATAAAACAGTTACAGACACAATTACTGTTACCAAAACTTTGATAAATCGTTTGTTGGAAGACAATATTATTTATGTTCAAATATTAATACAGCAAATGCAGAGGATAGCCACTTATAAAGTATTACGTATTAAAGAGTCAAAAGGGTCGAAAACGGCAGAATGAGCATTGAGCCAGTGGTGCAGCGTTGGCAGTGGGTTTCTGTTACGCGGTCGGTTAATCCACGACAAGGGAAACCTTTTAAAAACCGAGTGAACCTGAGTAATTCGTAAGTACTAACATAACAGTTCCTATAGCTGGCCAGTCGTGTTTCCGGTCGCGTTCTTGCCATGGTCATGTTGTCGACAACATCATATGCGTCGCTGTGCGTTTTTGCAGCCGTCACACTCGTCTACGTTGGAAACGCCGCCGTGTTAGTCAACGTGACCTACTTATGGCACCTTTCGGATATCTCTCGTGTACCTACCCCACAGCCACAACAGCGGTTACCTCTTTCTAGGGATTCTAACGTTACAGAGGTCTCAAGTCGTGGAGTATTTAACAAGCAGACCAACGTACTATTTGCCGTTCGGAAACCTTTGATGGCACTAGCGTATACTGGCCACACAAATGTAAAGTCTAATACTGTCAACTCGGTTGTGCTTAACTCACTAGCATTACAAAGATTTCCTAGTGCTAAATACGGCGAGAATGTCAAACTCGACCAGCACACTATGGTGTTAGGTCATAGCGTCGACAACGAAGGAGTTTTTGGGATAAGCTTATTTTTCGGTGTTGGAGACGTTTGGCTTAGGTCCATAGGTGTTGCCGAATCTTTGATAATGTGGCACGCCATGCCTGCCGAACTCGTGTTGGACTTCATTAACAACTCGTACGATTGGAACACAATAGCAAAAAAAGTAAAACATCTTATGCCTACCTACCATACCTTTAGTATTTAATCATAACATATTTTTTATTCAATTATATTAATTTAATTGTGACTGTAATTTAATTGGAAGTATTGAACACGTGTGCGTTGTTTTTAGGTTTACACTAAATTAGATTTCTCGTAATAATTATATGTTAGATAGTAAACCAAACATGTTTTAACTTTTGATAAAAGGATTGCTCATAAATGTTCTCAATCCCCTCTGCTATGGTAATTCGTAATATTTGCATTTAACTTTGATATTGTTCTTAAAGATTAAACTCTGTACAAACATAACATAATAAATGACAGTTACAAGTGATGACAAACGTTCAATGACTTTAAATTGTTTCCAACAAGATGAAAAGTAATAAATTTTGCATCTACAAAATATAGCCGCAAGAATTCTACCCACTATTGTGGACGTACAGCTATTAGTTTAAGCTCTCCGTCGACACTATTTAAGATTTATCGATAATATTAGAAAAACGATCATTTGAAATCACTAGTGATCACTGATTTTATAAATTATGCGTGCGCGTTTAAAACAAATGTTCAATGGTGAGTTTTTAATGGTAAAGAATGAGTAAGTGTCGAAAGAAGTTGTGGCAACGGATAAAGTAAAATGCTGCGATACTGTTTTGTTATAAATGTAAAGTCAACATTTTTCATAGAAAGCTTTTAAATTGTAGCGAGTTTTTCTAACTAAACAAAAAAAAACTGATAAGCTTAATTTTTATAATAAAAATTGATCACTTGTGGCTAATTATTTAAAATGAAAATATATTAATAATATTAATTTAAAAAATATTAAACTCAAAAAAGTAAAAAAAAATTACTAAATACACAGATAAGTATTTCTGGAAAAATGTTACCATTTTCAATGCTAATTACATACTCCTCATTGATTTTTTTTTTTTTAAGAGTTGACGATTTATAGAGACTGAATTTTATATTTGAACAGCATCAAAATATTTTCATACGAAAGTGCCAGACGATTATAAGATTAATATCTTTATAAGCATTACGATTACAACTTAATCAAAGCTATAAAAATTATAAATTCAATTATAAGAATTTTTTTGTTTAAACGTTTGTTTTTTCTACAATAAATTCACTCAACTATTGGTTTACTATAGTATAACTCTACAATACAATGTTTAATATATTTTTTTTTCATCGCTTTAGTGATAAAAAAACTTTAATATTAATTTTTTTTAAATGAGAACCCTTATTTTTACCTTAATAATATAATATAAAAAAAATGTTATTCTTTTATTTTTTTATACGCGATCAACCGTTCGTCTATTTCAACGTATTATAATTGAATGTGTTTTAGACTAAATTAAAATTTTCATTCTACTGTTAGCTTCGATGCGAAGCTGAGAAGGTATTAATTTTACCATGATGTGTTTATTTTTTTTTTTGTGTCTGTCACTACTTTTTCTCAGCTCTCACTGGACCGATTTCTTTTAACAATACGTCAAAAGATCACAAATTGTATCTAGTTGAAGACATTACCCTTAAAAATTTAAAAATTTTCCCTCGTTCCCCGCAAATGGGGGAAATATCCAAAAAAATTACAAATTTAAAAATCGACAAATTTTGTCATTTTTTTCACTTTTTTTTCTTAAAACTTCCATAACTTTTTCAAAAATCAACAAATCAACATAATTTTTTTTTAAACTAAAACCTTAGATATTTTCCTTTCATTTGATATAATTTTTTTGAAAATTTAACACTTAACCTGCTCATGGGGGGGGATTTAAAATTGCAACTTTTTTACAAAAACTAACTTTTTCAACTTAATTTTTGAAAATGTTCCGGAAATACTGCGTCCTTTAAACATATATCAAATTAAAGCTTATTTTATGTACTATAAAATGAAAAAAAAAAATTTGTCCCGACACTTTATCTTCTGCATGTAAACGGTTGCCGTAGTTAAAAAAACACTATTTTTGTGTTAAAATTTTCGATTTTCAATTTTTAATTTTCAACTTAAAAATGCTATAACTTTTCGAAAAATGCATGTATCAGCACAATTTTTTTTTTTCTAAATACATTATAAGTACATCTTCCATTTGACATACTTTTTATTAAAATTAGACAATTTCCCCTTATATAGGGGGGGTTCAAACTTTGAAACATTGTATAAAAAATAGAACTTTTTCAACTGAACTTTTGAAAATGTTCCGGAAATACTGCGTCCTTTAAACATATATCAAATTAAAGCTTTTTTTATGTACTATAAAATGAAAAAAAAAAATTTGTCCCGACACCTTATCTTCTATGTGCAAATGGCTGTCGAAATTATAAAAAAAATGTAATGTTTACGATAAAAATCACCTTCTATCGGAATGTTTTTTGTACTTAAAACTGCCATAACTTTTTCAAATATTAACTAATCAAAATAATATTTCTTTATATTGAAACCTTAGGTAATTTTCTTTCATTTTATATCATTTTTTTTTGAAAATCTAACACTTATTCTGCTCACAGGGGGGATTTAAAATAGCAACTTTTTTACAAAAACTAACTTTTTCAACTTAATTTTTGAAAATGTTCCGGAAATACTGCGTCCTTTAAACATATATCAAATTAAAGCTTATTTTATGTACTATAAAATGAAAAAAAAAAATTTGTCCCCACACTTTAACTTCTGCATGTAAACGGTTGCCGTAGTTAAAAAAACACTATTTTTGTGTTAAAATTTTCGATTTTCAATTTTTAATTTTCAACTTAAAAATGCTANCTCAAATTTCATAGATAAAGGTTCTTCAACTCATACTAAAGCTAAAAGTCGATATATTTTCCATTTATTATTTGTATTTCGATGATCGATTTGAACAATCAACATTTATTAGTAATGGTGTAAAATATCAATAATAGTTAATTATTTATTTTATACAATAAGAAAAGTGTTATAACACAATGTTTTAGCTTCGATGCGAAGCTGAGAAGGTATTGGTTTTACTAAGATGTGTTTATTTTTTATTTTTTTTTTATCTGTTACCACTTTTCTCAGCTCTCACCCAACCTATTTCTTTCAATGATACGTCAAAAGATCACAAATCGTATCTAGTTGAAGACATTACCCTCAAAAATTGAAAAAATTCCCTCGTTCCCCGTAAATGGGGGAAACCTTCAAAAAAAATTACAAATTTAAAAATCGCTAATTTTCGAAATTTTTTCATTTTTTTTTACTTAAAATTGCCATAACTCTTTTAAAAATAACCAAATCAATACAATTTCTTTTTATGTAGATGCCTGATGTCTTTACCTATCATTAGGCATATATTTTTTATAAATCTGACCTTATACCTGCCTTCACAGGGGGGATTTAAAATATAAACTTTTTTACAAAAACTAACTTTTTCAACTTAATTTTTGAAAATGTTCCGGAAATACTGCGTCCTTTAAACATATATCAAATTAAAGCTTNAATAGAAGTATACAAAATAGTAGAATACTATTTGATGTCAATTAATAGATGCACATTATTATATTCCACACAAGTTTATCTTATATTGTTAAACGACCAGTGTGGACAAATTATCTTGATAACTAAAATAATAATTTATGGTTCAATGGATCAGATTATTATTGCCTCCAGTATTACAAAACAAAATTAGTGATAAAATTCTATTCTGAATCCAAATCTTTAAACAATTTAAAAAAAAAACAATTTGTTGATCGCGTAGAAATAAATAAAAGAACTACATTTTTTTGTAAAAATTTTTTTATTTCGTGTTATTAAGGTAAAAATAAGAGTTATCATTTAAAAAAATTAATGTTATTTTTTTTTATCCCTGAGAAATGAAAATAAATTATTTAACTAAAAAGTATTGTAGAGTTTTTCGAATCAAACAATATTTTCCTTAAGAAAAATTTAAAATGTTCAATAGTTTCCCAAAAAATGAGTGTCATCCTTAATTAATCACTTTGTACATATTGTCGTGATTGAAGAGTTCGGTTGTAAAACATCTAAAAGCGCATTCTCTCGGTCATATCGTTGTTTCGTTTGCCCGTATGTCTTCCTCTTAATAAAATAGTTGACACTTTTATAGCTATAAGGGATGTTGCTAAAAATTAATCAGAAACTGATAATTAAGGAAATATAATATCTTTCTTAGATACATATTATTAAGGAACTACCATTTATAATTTTAAAAAAATTATTATTTTTGTAGCTTCAATTAAATTAAAATCATGATAAACAGCAATTAATAAGTGATAACTCAATAAATAAATATAGTTAAAAAAAACTAAAAAACACGCTTTTAAAGCACATCGAACTAAAAAGTTAAAAATAATTTTTAAAATTAACTTAAAACAATAATGAACGAAAAATACTAGTATTATTGTGAAAAAAANAGTTGGGACAATATAAATGATACCTGACAGTGTATATTTAACTATCATATATGCGTTTCAGGACGCATACAGAGAAAATAATATTATTCTGATTAGGTAGTAGTAATATAGTTTATTTGAAAAATATAACATATCTCATGTAAAACGAATATTATACAATATTAATTATCTTAATATAGTGATTCTCAAGTTCCTTCATTTTAGTTTGATATTAATTATTTTACGTATTTATAAAATAATATTTTATGTATAAAGTACTGGGATAGTAACATATACGTATGTGTGCATAGATAAATACTTAGAAATAAAAATATATATATCTAGTAAATATATTTTTTAATTATATTCAATCATACAATGACGTAGGTGTTAAAAAAGATGAATCATTATGTAAGCAAATGAATGTATATTTTTAAAAATTACAAAAATATATTCAAGGATATTTCGTCACTGTTTGCTCCATTTCTATTTCTGATATTTTTTATTAAAATTATTATTTTTACATGTTTGACGTTATTTTCTGTCAGAATCAATATTAAATTATGAATAATATAGTTAAAAAAATGTATAATTCAGTTTATTTAGGTATTCAAAAACAATATTCAAACAAAATTTCAACAAATAACTCTTACACAGCAAATAATAATAAAAAAATGTTGACCAATAAGAGTCTTTAAAGAATAATAATTTAATACATGTGACATCCTTGATATATAACAAGTCTTCTCCAATATTGACACCTTGATGATATTTAAATATTCTACTAAACTAGATTTATGTGATCAACATAAATGCTCTTATTATTTATTGAATTATGATAATTGTTGCGCCAGGACACTTCTAAATTAATGATTGGCATCAATAGCTTATGTAAGGATCATGTGGACCAATAATAATACTTAACCTAAAATAAACTATATAACCTTTAAATGTTTAATGTATATATTTTAATGCAATTGTAGCTTTATGGGCTAAGGGATACAATGAAAATACTCTCTCTGGTGTTTGGGTACTACTTGATGTTATAGCCTGATACGATCACATTTGCATATCCATATCTCTGTCTCCCATAACGTCATTGTACTGTTTAATAGACATATATATATATAATTAACACAGTGACATACAACAATACTAACAGAAGGGCGGACTGTACACATAAACACTTTTGCAATTCACGACCAATGTGCCATAATAATATATCCCTATCGACAGTTGACCTTTTATCATCATCGCTATCACTACTGATAATTAACTTAACTTTCTACCACGTATACAGAGTGTTCAGTAAGTCAGATCTTTGTTGGATTATATTATCTCTAGGTGTCCAGCAGGTTGTATTATCTATTTAATATTTCGATCACTTAATAAATATTTATTTATATCGTTGTTAACCTAAAGTGTTATATATATATTGTAATGCGACCCTTGGTAGTATCTCTAAGGGAATATAAATTAAATAGGAAACCTCAGTACCTATGGTAGATATAGCCTAGCCAACTATACCCCGTTGGTCCCTTAGAATACTGTGGACGGGCATTTAGGCTCAACCCCTAAATAGCGACGTAACAATTGGTGGAGGCGCCGAACTCTCTGTTTATTTTAAACTTTTAGTGAGGGATCCCCCCTAAGTGTACTACAATTTTTATATACCGCTTTTCACGGTTAATTTATAAATTAAATATTTTTTATTTATTATTGGCTCACTTTATTATAATAGTAACAATTGTATGGTTAGGTATAACTATAATTTAAGTCTTTGAGTTACATAATCTTTTATATACGTTTATATTCCTCTCAATAATTATTATTTAAAGCGCACCTTCAATAATCAAACTTATAGAATTACCGATAGAGTTTGGAATTTAATAGCTAATAGATAAGTACAATGGGAATATTAATAGGAATAATAGCAGGAATTTCAACAATAATAATAGGAATCTTAATAATAACAGTAGAAATTTCGATAATAATTATAATAATTTTGGTAACAGCAATGGCAATAATTTTAACAATATCACTAGATATAATAATAAATATCAAAATTACAATAATTCAAATCGAAATACAGACGGTCATTTTTACAATTCTAATAATAATAATAATAATGGTAACTACAAAAACAATCGCAATTTTAATTATAATAATAACAGATTTTCTAATAATACAGGTCAAAATTATAACAACAATAATGGTGGGCAAAATCAGGGCCCAGGAGGTCCGTCTACTAATAAGTGGGCCTCTAATCAGCGGCGCCCGCAGTAAACTCAAAAAAACAAATAAGTCAAAATTCGATGATTAGGGCGAATTTTGACACTTCTTCGCGAGCTAGCCAAAAAGTTCAATCACTAGCCCCCATTACGAAAGCAGCATTAGCGCAAAATAATTTCAATATCACAGGTGTCACTAATTGTTCTAACATTTTTTCAAATTGCGCATCGGTCCCTCAAATTATAATAATTGGGAAATTAAATTGTATTGAGTCAAAGTTTTTTATTGATACGGGGGCATCGAATATCATAATAAGTAGCGCTACACTTCCCATGAATCATGATATTATTCCAGCCCAGAACGCGACCCTTACTACAGCAAATGAGTCCCCTTTAGATTTATTAGGTACAACTTCAATTGAGGTAAATTTCTGTGAGCATAGTTTTATTATTGAATGCGCGGTCGTTAAAAACTTATTGTCTTTTAATTAATAGTTTTCTACACAAATATAAGGCTAATATTGATATGTACGATTCGAAAATTATTTTATTTGACGGACTACACAGGGTGACCGTACTCTTAGAAAAATTCAATTCTAGCAATGTCGTAAATCAAATTCTTTCACACGAAGATTCAACCAATGTTTCCATTGAGTCCACAGCGGCGCGTATGTAGGTTTCGAAAAATATCCCACAAGACGGCTTTTGCGGCGTAAATACATTAGTAGAGGTGTTGAAAAATAAAAATATTAATGTTAATTTTCATGATATTCAAATATTACTAGGCGTAGATTCTGCAAGTCAGTCTGTCTGGCTTGAGGCAGAAGATCTAGCAGCCGTCGCGTCATATTACAATAAATATAGTTTAAAAAAACTAAAAAACACGCTTTTAAAGCACATCGAACTAAAAAGTTAAAAATAATTTTTAGTTCGATGTGCTTTAAAAGCGTGTTTTTTAGTTTTTTTAAACTATATTTATTTTTCACTTTTTAGTTTCATGTCATGATAGTAGTTAATATCAATATCATGGTTGTAACGGGAAATAAGGGTTCGATTCCGGAGAGGGAGTCTAAGAAACGGCTACACATCTAAGGAAAGCAGCAGGCGCGTAACGTGGAGGTAGTGACGAAAAATAACAATACGAGAATCATCCTCCGTAATCGGAATGAATACACTACATATCTCTTAATGAGAATAAAGTGTATTAATATATAAGTTTTAATAGTAATTAGAATATATATATATTTAAAGGGACTTAAGTACGTAAACGTATCATGCATGAGGTATAGCCGTGTTTATGTGGGCGGGCATGGCGGAGGGAACATTATACACGAGGCATATACGGCGACAGAGGGGTCGGCTGTAGGAATATATAAATGAATATTAACATATACGTATAAATATTAATATATATATATATTAATATTAGCGGTGGCGGTAGGAATATATAATCTTCGCATAATATCGCGTCACTTTTGCTGGCGTCGAAGTCGCGATGTCCGGCGTGATCCTCGGGCGTCAATAGGTTAGCAGTGTAGATGACGACGGTGCGCGAGTGCGGATCAGTTTGTTGACGATGTTATTTTGACAATGGGAAGAAGACTACGGTATAGCGGCGGGACGACGTCGGCCGTGCGGCACTTGCTGGACTTTGCACCGCGGCGTAAAACGACGCGGGGCTGTGTCAATTACAATAAAAATTTGTTATATATTTATATAATTGATGATAAGCGCGCGTCTACGGGTTGGAAAATATTGTTCTCTACTAGTGGTGAGCGGGGTGGGGCGAATGCGTTACAACAGTATAGTCTCAAGGTCATACACGACGGGATACGCGACATAATAACACGTGTCGCGTGGAGTTACAAAACATACAAGTGAAACTAATATAAGCGTGTTAATAATAAAAATAAAAAACGAAATTTTTTTTTTTTGATATATTTATTTCAGAAGTATTTGAATGGATTATGATCACTCTGTATCTGTTAAACTAGACATTCTCTATTAATAATTTTTAGATTTTAGTTGATACCGTATCAAATATCGTTTAATTATTAACATCTTATCAATTTTCAGGTTTTACCATATGAATGGCCATTGTTATTAGTGTGTATTTTGATGATGTTCAGTGGTTTATTTATTACTCGTTACGGGATGTATTGGCAAAGACGATATAAGGAAGCAAAATGGTTAGGCGACACCGGCTGGGAGACGGGTTGCAAGAAAGGAGTAATTGTTGTAGCAGTACAAGTTTTACTGCTATTGCTTGGGTAAATATAGAAGTTAACACCCTAATAATGATTGTATAATGATGACGAATAATAAATTAATGGTTTTGAAAAATTAGGAACTGATAAAATAAAACCTATATAAACATTTACAATTAAAACTATTAAAAATAGTCTTAATATTAGCTATAAGTGACCAATTTTTATAATATCTATATAAACATTTGAAAAAAAAATTATTTATTTTAAGCTTGAAATAATATTGGGATATTTTTATATAATAGTTTGAGAAACTAACTATTAAGAAAGAAAGTGATCAAACGCCACAAGGCTCATGAACTTAAAGGGCCCTTCAAGAGATACTACTACGACACCCATAAAGGTCTTAATCCGGCCTTGTCAACTGACGATAGTATAACTTTTAAATAATTATTTACTAATAAAATTTAAATAATCATTAAATGAATTCATATACATATAAAAGATTTAATACTATAATTGGCTACATATTATTTATATCCTTAAAAAGTAAAGTAATTTAATTTTCATCATAAGCACAATTTGAACACGATATTTGGGGATCTAACTTAACTTATCTCTTCCTCAGAATTTTCATTTTCAATTTTATTGAAGACGGCTGTGACCAAGCACCTTCAAGACCACCCAAATCATAACTACGATTCTCACAGAGATGTGTATACGTACGGATAATTATAATAATTAATAAACATTTTTTTTAATATTAATTTTTGTAACAAAATATAACTTCAAATTACAAAAAATATCATAATTTTTCAACTTTATTATTAAAAGATAACTTAGCCATCTATGTACTGGGATAATGAAAATTTAACATTTTTCACTCATTGAGTTCATTTTCATGTTACACAACTGTATCTTATCGGTAAAAAGAGTAAATACAACAACCATTAAGTTTAGGTAGTTTAGACATGTAGTTATACAAGACTTTACACTTAAGAGTTTACAGACGAAAGTATTGGTCAATAAATTGTCCAACAATTGTAAGTTATAATAACAATAATCATTATACGTAGTAGTCAACATTGAAGAAAATATGAGAATAAAAATCGATATTGTTATTCAATTTTCTAATAAAAATTTTAAAATTTACAGTGCTGGGGCTTGTGGACTTATTGTGACCAATGAATCTATGACATATGCTGTGTTTAGCGTCAGTGATCTTTTGGAGTTTGGCGTGGGCGACTTGGTTGATATGTTTTCAGTCACACAAAAGCAAATACGTACAATATCCATTGGCTCTATGGACTCAACAACTGATGCCGTTTTTACAAAACTGGATGGTATGTAAAATATTTCACATGACTTTCTATTAATATTTTTGTAATATTAAGATTTTTTATTAAATTCATTTTTCTCTAATAATTCATCATTTTCTTTTTTGAATTTAAATGAGATATATTAGACAGAAAACAAAAGAATCAGCTCTATTATTTTAGTCGTGAAATTATTTTTAACGTTTATGATACTTTTTACATTATATTTGATGCAATAAATATACATAATATTATACTCGAACTTTTAGTATAAAATCACTGAATATATTAACTATATGAACCCATGTGGGAAATGAAAATTCAAATACTGTTTTATACCATTAAAATATATTATATTGGTTTATTGAGGTCTCGAGTAATAAATTACTATCGACTACCATGTTTATGTAAATAGCAATTTCAAATATCGACCGACTTCTCAAATTAATACACAAAATTATACTTATAATTACTATAAATGTTTGCTTAAACATACAAAATATAAATCCATAAAAAATTTTTGAGATAATAAGTTTAATTTTAGCTAATTGAGTTACACGTTTTAATTTTCGGTGGATGAAATTAGAATATAAGAAGTATTTATTATTCAATAGTCAGATTGGCTAACACTGTTAATCCATTATGATTACACAGGACATTAAATAACAACAAATATATTATTGTTTTATATAAATTCTATATGGAAAAAAAAAGCTGAATTATCGAGTAAAAACTATTTTTAGGTTTAACTAACAATTATAAAACTTAGACAATAAATGAATAATTTTATAAGGATTTAGACGTTTTAGGAGTACATAAAAGGTGGCTCAAGAAGCTCGCGCTTATCCCTCCTCACAAATTAGGTGATAATTAAAATTAATGATGAACTTCTATTGATCATTATTATTATGAAAGCATATTTTTTTATGTTAAAAAATCCATAAGATTGTGGATATACTTAGACCTAGATTTAGTAAGAAAGGAATAGATTTTTATTATTCCAATTGATTGTAACAATCAACCTATTCCTTGAACTATCTGTTTAGGACATATTAGTTGTCTTAATTTTTGATTTACTTGTATATTATAAGGTTCATTAAAAACAGGTCAAATAATCGACTGTAAGTTATTCGAATATTTAATTACTCAGTAAGTTGAAGTATAAATTAAATATCAAAGCGTATTCAGCAAATTGTCTATAAAACTTAATTATTATTATATAAGTAATAAATACAGTTGATATTTGTAAAATTTAAGTACACCATAGTTTTATCGTTAAAAAATTTATAAGGTTGTATAAAATCATTACACATATACATTAAAATATAACAATATTGAAAAAGTATTAAAAAAAAAACAATGTTTGTTGTAAATTGTTGAGATATTCACGTATTTTTTGTATTAGCAGCAATTTATTTACTTCATATTAAATCAAAATGAAAAATTTAATATTTTTTAAATCCTTATAAGATTATCCATTTGTTTATTAAAGTTTCATAATTGTGAGCTAACCAAAGAAAATTTCTTTTTTTTTTTTTAATGAAACTCAAGCTAACTTTGAAGATCCTAAAAAACGGTTTAATTGAAGAAATAGACCCAAATTTTGCACTACTCTTATTAAACATTGTAAAATTATTAAGGAAAATTTAAAAAAAAATGTTTTATTCATTTATGAATTTTGTGCTATATAATTACTAATTAGTAATTACACTAAAAGCTAGATGTGATAGGAAAAATTTGAAGCTAGTTTCAGGACCAGCGTCGAATTTCCATATAGAATTTATATACAAATTGTAAACAAGTAGTTCTATGTTTTAGTGTACACTTTCATTAATAATTGGAGTTATTTTATTTTTATAAAAAAAAAAGTTGCTACAACTTATATTAAATAAAAAAGTATAAAATTACTATATTAATTGATTATAGCTTGAATTTTTTTTTTTTTTAGAATTTTTTGCAGCTTTATAGTTGATTATTTTTAATATTTTAAATATATTTTTAATTTTATAATGATGAAATAATGAAATCGGTATATAATTATTTAGTTTTAAATTATAGAACTAAATTATCTCAAAATGCATTGTGACACTTAAATCACTCACAATACATGAAATATCAAATTACCTTTATTGTGGAATATTTAAACATATTAATATATTAAGGTGTTAATATATTAACACAATTGATTAAATCTTATTTTACTGTGTTATAAAAAGCATCTAACCAAAATATTTCTTAAAGATAACACAATAGCCTAGAACGAAGCTTTAATATTTAATTTTAAAACCTAGAGTCACTATATAGAGTCTAAGTGATTTTTACTCTTTGTTTGTAATTTCTTTTTATATTTAATTCCATTTATAACAATTGATATTAATCATACTATGTTTAAACGACAGCGTTTAAGATATAATATAGTTCAAATTGATCGAGCTATTTTTGATTAATTCATTTAAATGAATTATTAATTAATAAAAAAAGGTGTTATTTTACAACCTATAAATTCATAATTGAAAATTTATTCGTAAATATTATTAAAAATTTTTGATAAATATAATTGTGTAAAAACTTATTATATTGTTTTTTTAAATTATATTATGTTACATTTCATTTAAATTCACTTTAACTTAGTGTTTACCTCTGGCTATTCTTATATTTTTAAATAAAATAAAATAAGAATTTGACTTATACTTTTTTTCGTAAGATTACTCGAATACTGTATACTATAACTGACAAAAACCTACAAGTTTAAAATAAAATGAAATGAATTTATCATTTTATTATTTATAAAAATGAATTTATTATTTTTTCGTTAAATGTAACTTGGAAGTTGAAATATACAATAATAGTTTACCGAGTTAAATTGACAACGAAAAAAGAAACAAGTTATTTGATAATCAAACTAAAAATTCATTAGAAACAAACATATGTTTGAAAACTCTGTTGTGTTTATCAAAAAGATTAAATTTACTTTTACATAGTTTTTATTATACGGATTTTAATGATAGTAGAGGTAAAATGTAATAAATCACATGTTTAAATCATTCAACTTGTATTTTTTATTTTTGTTAACTTATAAGTTGTAAGTTAAAAAAAATTAGCAAATATCGGTTATATTAATTAATGAGAAGTTATAACTGATTTAACTTAACCGATATCAGTCTTAATACAAAATATCGCTTAATTTATTCGAGCAATTTCAAATGCATTAGCTTGAATTATATTGCATTACATTTTGACAATTTTAAATAGGAATAAATTATTTTGAAAAATTCAGTTCTTATAATAATAATAATCTTTATTTACGGAATAAAAGTTCCAATTAAACTGAATAAATAATATATCTAAACAATAAAAAACAAAATAATAATAACAATATTTAAACATCTTAAAAACTATAAAAAAATAATAATAAAACATTTAAAATTTTTAACAACGAAAACTGTTTTTAAAAATAAAATAAAACCACGAAAATATTATGAGTCGTTTTTACAATTTTTAGATTTAAACGCTTCTAAACTACAATATTGGGATTTAGTAATGGATAATTTAAGATTAAATGTAAATTAAATATAATTACACTTATATATATTTATAAACATTCCATTTAAAATATACCAAGAGGTAAAACAATTAATATCATTTTGCAATAATACAGTATCAGATGGGGTTTTAATAGATTTAAAAATATTTGCATTATCAGCGAATAAAAGTATTTAGTGTTTCAAAACTAATGTAATATCATTAATAAAAAGTAAAAAAAAACAGAGGGGAAATATTAGTTAGGAGTTTAGTTATTTGAAATATACCTAATAAAAATGAACGAATTCCTGATACCAAGGGTTTTCTAAAACCATATAATTCTAATTTAAAAATAAGTAAACCATGGTCAACATGATCAAAACCTTTTTTAAAATCTTCAAAAATTACTTCTGTACAATAGGCACAAGAAAAAGATTTTAGTATATATTCTTTAAATAATATTAGGGATAGTATATCTACCAACATGAAATCTAATGTGCTCATTAACTTACAATTTATTATGAAAATGGCATAATTTTTGACCGACAAGCTTAGAAAAAGTTTTAGGAATAATAGATATTATGGATGTTGGTTGGTATACTATAGTTACTAAAATTACATTTACTACCTGTTTTATAAATAGGAGTTTTAATAGTGTTAAAATTTTGGGAAAACAAATTGTGTTTATAGATAAATTAAATAGAAAAATGATTGAAAAACATAAAACACAGCCGCATTATTTTGAAAAATAAGCAGACAAATCATTTGAGCCAGAAGTGATTTAAAAATTTTAAGACCATAGTTCATTCAATATATCTAAAGCACTAAATTCATGTTTAGAAATAGAATCTATAAAATTATAAAAGGTAGGAATATTAACTAAATTATAAATTATGACAGCTATGTACAAGAGAAAAATACATTTTAAAGAAATAATGTCAACAACATTTTTAGGATATAAATCATTATAAAATATACAATTTGGTGTTTTTGAGAATTTTTTTTCATCATTGAAAAACTTCTAAAAATATTTAGGATAATATATAATATAGAATTTTGATCGTTTTTTATGTAATGTGTATAATTTGAATTTCTTAATATTTAATATACACAACGAAGCTGTATTAATTCAGTATAGTAATCATTGGAATTTAGTTTACAATATAAATAGTGATGTTCTTTCTTACATTTTAATAATGAAGTTAGTTTTTTATTAAATTAAATGGAGTAAGAGTTATAAATTTTTATTTTAACTGGAGTAAAAGCTTCTAAAGCTTTAAAAAATGATCTAAAAATATACTATATTTATAATATATCGATATGCGCAACGAATAAGACAGTAACACAAAATATTCAACTTAGAGATTATGGAGTATTTAGATTTAGATCCTAATTTTCTCATTGTAACTTTCATCAAAATATCGATAATTTGATATGAATTGAAATTAAAATACATAGAATATTGATAAACATATAACGTATAATAAAACAATAAATTTATTTTT